GTGCTTTAGCCCTGTGCTGTAGCTATCAGAATCTTCGGTGAAGTACCCCTGAAAACCCCAGAGTATTCAGCCTCTTTGATTTTTCAGTAAATATACTAAAGAAGTACACTGCGTAGTACACTGTCTGCTTTTTTAATAATGTCTTTTGGTGAGCTACTGCATAGTTTAGTGTACTGGAAAATGGATAAGTGGAAGTTCTACACAGATAAATAGGACTCAGAGCTGACATGTATTATTAGCACTCCAATTTTCTGAATAGAGCTAAAAAAAAAAAAACAAATTGCTCCTCCTGTAAGAACCAGACTCGAGAGTCAAAGACAGGCTGCAGCTGCTCGGACCCACCAGCAGGTTTCACAAACTACACAAGAGTATAAGGACTTCACTGCTGCCCATTTTTCCTGATGTTTTCCCCATGCAACTCTTTATTCATATACAATGAGGTGAAAGTAATGCAAACAACAAAAAAGCTATGAATTATTCCTTAGCCCTCTGAACCTCTGTTTACTGATGTTGTCTTTCTAAATCACATTTTCTTCATTTCATATCAGCACTTCAAATTACCTGGTATCAAATCACTCTCCTCAGGAGCAAGCAGGCTACAATTTCTAAAGAAGAATACAAATACAAGCCCTTCCATTACCCCTGAAGCAGGGTAATACCTTCCACAGCAAAACAGATTTTAAAATTATGGAACATCCAAACCCCACACCTAGCTGCAACTCTGCAGAAAAACCTTGTGAACTTTGCTGAGAGCTTTCCGTAATATTTCAGGATATCCACTCTAAACATAGTTGAATATATACCTCAAACCTTGTGAGCTATTTCTTCATCTATGTTTTTTCAGTTGCTAAGAAACTTCTTTCTGTTTCTTGTAAAATACATGTTTACAACATCCTACATGCTGTAGGATCGTTCCTCATTGGATTGACTTTGAATATACCTGAAAGAATTTTGTTACTCCTAGGTTTTATCTGCTATGGTCCAATGAACTCCAATGAGTTCAAACCCAACCTTGACATGCTGCTCATATGATAATTTGGAAAGTAACTGCTTGTATTCAAGTTTAAAATAATTCTTTTCAGACAGTTTTGAGGAAAACAAAAAGATCAAAATCGAACCTTGACCTCCACCACTCCCTGACCCAAAGCCAAGTGCAGCTAGACTTGCTCCTGTACTCATGTGTCTCTGTCACACAGGGAGTTTGAATCCAAAGCCTGTTGCTCACTTCATCATGTGCAGCTCCAGGAAACCTTTTTCATAATGAAAATACAGCTTACATATACAGCTTCTATTTCAAAATGTACTTCCAAACACATAACTTTTAGTGAAAAGAGAAAAACAGTTCCCTGAATATATTTGCAGCATGAATGCACCCAAATTGATTCATAGGCTTTTCTGAATTGATAAAACATTTCTTTGTCACATCAGAGTTGCAGCTGCAGAAAGGGATCCTTAAAAATGGGCACATTTTCATACCTGTAGCAGAACTTTCTGATCAGATCACATCTGTGCATGTGTGAATTTAAAATATGAGTTTAACACATAAAGCTTTGAAACTGTATTCTATATAGAAATTGTATTAAACTATATTTAACTGTATAGAGCCATTGCCTTGCTCAGAAGTGATCAAGTCCTCCCTGAGTATTGTACTAGCAATGGGTCCAAAACCCAAATTCGTTTGCATTACAGCAGCCTACATCTGTCTCACCAGTATTTCAAAGAACCTAACTAATTCTAAATCAGTCCCACATGGTTCACTGGGAAGAGCAGGTGTTCAACACCTTTGCAAAATCAGGTAATTTGATGGATTGGCTACAGCTATAAACTCAAGTCTTGTGTTTAAACCCATTCAGCAACTTTAGAGGAGTAAGACCCTGCCCTATGGCTTTGTCATTCATAGTACCATTGATCCTTGTACATATATTCTTGGACTACAAACACAACAGTAATTACAGCATTAACTACTAAGATACAAGGCAGAGTTTCATACAGAAACCAAATTCAGTTGGAAACCAAAATCATCCCCAGATTCTTACTATCTGCATCTTGGCAGTGCTTTGCACCTCCTGCCAATGCACCCAGAATTCCTGATGCTGTTTCTATGAACAGGTTAATATGCGGGAAGTCAAAAATCGTCAAAACTGTCCCTCAATTTAAAAAAAAAAAAAAAAAAAAAAAAAAGGTTTCTCAAATCAATTGTTTTCACAAAAATACCTGAGGCTGAGCAGGAATTTTTGGAAACTAGAAGGTCAGTTTCCAAAATTGTTTAGACTAGTTCCCAGTAATGTCCAAAAGCCAGCCCGGTGTATGTATTCTTCTTTGCTCTTGACTTCCAGCAAATAAATAGTGTTCTGTTCTTCACAGAACGCAGCTTTTCCTTAATGCCGGTTCAACTTTACTCAGAAAACTTGAACTCACTCATAGGAAATAAAACAGTGATATTTAATCAACGGGGAAATCTTGTCTTTTCATCTACAAGGCAATCTTGTCATTTAATCCCTACAGCCTTTTAGCAAACAAACTCTCTATGAGCAATATTAAAAGATCATTTTTCTTCAGCCTCACCACCATTCTTTCCACCTATGCTTTCCACTCTGTATAGATCAACAAACACAGCATGCTCTTTTTTCCTGTAAAATTGGTTAATTTATTTCTTCATATTATAAAATGAAGAGGACATACTCAGGTTACTCCAGCTACCAGTAATTACGAATTCAGAAACTAAAACTTGTTGATGGGTTTGGGGTTTTCTAACTAGTTGCAAATGGTAGTCCTCATGACAAACAGACAGCAACACGCTAGACCTAGAGATGCTGCGAGCGTGAACTCTGGAGCACGCTATGCTGAGGCTGGCTCTGCCTTCATCTCAGCACGCTCAACCTACAGCCCGCAGCTTTCTCACGTCCTTCCAGACACACATTTGCCTCCAGGGAGGCCCCAGGTCGCAGGAACCAACACCACTGGCACAGGACTTCACAGGCGAACCCGCCGTGCCCGCGGCAGGATGGATGCTCCGGACCCACTCCGGCCCGCCAGGACCCCGCCCACACATCAGGGCTGGCCAATAGGGGCGCTGGACCTGAGAGAGCTAAGCCAATCAGCGTCCGAGCAGGCTGCTGGTACCCTTGCTGGGGACGCTGCTCTCGGAGCCCTGGACCAGCCGCCCCAGGGCCCGCGGTCAGGCCCAGGGCGAGGGGCCAGCCGGAGACCTCCGGAGGGCTGCAGCTGCTGGTCCTAGCCTTATACCGGGATGCTTCTTGCTCCGGCCCGGCTGCTCCCGGCTTTCTGGCGCTGCCCAAATCCCGGAGGTTTCGGGAGGACGTTGTCGCCTCGTCCCTGGCTTAAGTGGGACAATAGAGGAAAGGAAATAGTAACAACCAGCTCTCCTTCAGGAGAGGGCTGGCACAGTGCATCCTGCAGCTGACAGATCGGAAGCCGCACTGGAGCGCGGTGACTACGCTCAGGATTCACACTGTTCTCCCGCCTTGTGCAGCTGCGGCTGATGCGCGGATCCCGGGCGGATCACCGGAGCTGGCCCTCTGCCCACTGCACGGAGTCGATGGGACCTGGTCGGTGCTGGGGCGCGTGTCCCCGCTGGGGAGGTCGCAGGGATGGGGCCCGAAAAATTAAATGTGGCAGAATTTCTCCCCGTTTCTCCTAGTGTATTTTGTTTCTGCTTATCAGCTACACAGCAGTCAAATAAAATAAAATAAAAACACAAAACGTGTTTTGAATGTGGGGGTTTTTGTTTGTTCGTTGGGGGGTTTTTTGGTCTCGACTTTGGCTGCTCGTGGTTGCTAAATACTTACTTCGGTTTGTGGTTTGCTTCTTTCAACGACTGCATTCATTTGTAGACATACAGACCGATAATTCACTTTTAATTCAAATTGACTGCCAGGAGTACCTTTGTTTGTAAAGGTAGCCCAAGTATTACGATGTCATGGGACACCTCTATTAAAACACACAACCTCCACCGACATGTAAATAATTCCCAGATCACAGCTTTATTATTCCAGGATTTCCCCGACCTCGTAGCCCAAATGACGCAGCTCTCCCCAGGTTCCCGCCTTGAGAAGGCAACAGATAAATGTGGAAATAAAGACATGGTAGGTTAAATTCCGGGTCTCGCTACACATGACAACGGGATCTTCGATTCAACTGACAGACGAACAATACCCCATTTTCCACGGGAGACACTTCTTCTATTCACTTTCATGACAGAAACACAAGTTGTGTCCTGGGATAAAAACGAATCGAGTGAGCGGGTATTTAGTGCACTAGCCCGGACATCATCATCATTAAAATAATAATAGTTAAAATATTAATAATTAAAATAATAATAATTAAAATACTAATAGTAATAATAATAATATCCTAAAGCCTACAGCTTTAAAGGAAATACAAGCCTGGTATTTTAATTCACATTTCCTATTACTACCAAGCACTTTTAGCCTTAAGTGAGCAAAAAGAGGATCTGATATTCTTTCAGCTTTGCATCTGAGAGTGATTCAGATGCTGGAAGCAATTTGTTTGCATTTTACATCGCGTCCCCTACACCCTGGGCTGAAATAGGGCCCGATCCTGGAAACTCTCAACGTCCTGTGGGTCGCAGCATCAATCGAAGAGATGTACCATCTGCTTCGGAGTTGGGAGATATGCAACAGCAAAACGTGGGTCTCTCTCCCGTCTCCTCCTCTTGCCCAAGCACAAATTCCCACCTAAAGCACTGGCTGAGACTAAGAGAGAGGGACTTAGAGAGTTTTCCAAGGGAAACATAATTTTCTAAGTCTTTTATAAGTTGGACGAGTTTCAGGTTCCCATGCCAACATTATAAGGAGATTTTTTTTCCTTAGATGAAAGTAACAACGATTCTAAAGAAAAGGGTTTGCAAAGGGGGCCCGTTTGACAGAACATAGATAAAGCAGAGTAATGATGTTCAGCCTTTAACATCTCTCCACTGACCCTGTGCAGAAAAAAAGAAAATTGTTTTCCGAAAATTGTTTTCCAAAAATCGTAGGCATGGGGAAGAACAGATTGGGGTTTGTTTGGGTTTTGCCGGTTCGTTTTGCTGAGTGACAGAAGGAAACTACTCAGACGCAATATTCAATGGGGCGAATACTTTAAAGCATGACTCGAAGCTGAAGCCAGCGGGATGTGCGTCGAGCTCCTCATCATCAGAAGCGTTATGGAGAAATACAAGATCCTGCCTGCAGCGCTTCAGTGACCAACCAAACAGCAGTTTGTCAGTAACTTTATTTAGAGAAAAATAAAATAAAATAAAACAAAATAGCATGACAAACCGGAACCAAGACCAAAATACTGTATCCACTGTACATCATTCATTAGAAAACAAACATACACCACATTTGTATTCTACCGAACAGAGAGTGTATTTCCCTTAAAATGATATAGTGCGTGCTTTTAGATTCATGCTTTTCAATATGTAATTTACATTTGTTACTCAAATATTATCTGTTATAAATAATTGCAACTTGATCAAATGGTGCACCTGTTATATGCGAACCTCTTCAGTGCTGCAAGTGTGGCTTTTTGTTGCTTTTTTTTAATTATTATTTATTTATTTATTTCAAGAAAGCTGCTGGTATTGCTTTAATAGGACCCGAGAAAGCACATCTGAGGTGTCAGATAAGGTGTACAGACGCCAGAGGTGCCCGTGACCTGGGTCTTATGCTGCGTCCTACGGCTTGGATCGCAGGAACAAGTGGTGGGAGAGCACATAATAAAAAATCGCTTCCAAAAGGCACAATTTCCTCCACACAAAGGTACAATAAAAATATATGGCCGCTAAAATACGGGCGCCTATGGGGGTGCGCTGTCTGTTCGGTGGGATCCCAGGCCCGCCAGGGTTTCGCCCCCCTTACTTTCCCGGCCCAACTCCCGGCCGCCCAGCCGCCAGCGGGTGCCAGCCAGCCCGCGCTTCCCCGCGACACGGCCTCCCTTGGAACCGCCCCAGCTCCGAGTCAGCGGGAGGGGAGAGCTCCCTCTCCGGACCGGCCCACTCTGCCCCGGTCGCCTCCCGCGTCACTGCTCGTGGCTCCTGCTGCCGCTCTCCGGGTCGCTCTGGTCGTCGGTGAAGCAGACGTCCACGTCGCTCTCGTTGTCAGTCTTTTGTTCCTGTTCGGGGGCCGCGTAGCCAGAGTCACTCTTGTCCTCGGCCGCCTTGCCAAGGCTCTGTCCCGGGTGCCGGGACTTGACGTGCCGCTCCAGATCGCGGCGCCGCACCAGCACCTTGCCGCAGTACTCGCAGCGGTAAGGCGTGTTGCCTTCGGCGTGCAGACGGATATGCTTGTTGAGGTTGCTGGGGTCCCCAAAGGGCCGCAGGCAGACCTTGCACTTGAGCGGCTTGTAGCCAGTGTGAGTCCGCATGTGGATCTTCAGCCCGTACTTGCGGGAGTACAGCTTCCCGCAGTAGAGGCACAGGTGCCCGGTCTTGGGCTTCCCGCCGGCCGCAGCTGCCGCTGGCAGGGCCTCCAGCCGCCCACGGCCCTTCTCAGCCGCCAACTCGGAGAGCTGCTGCGTGTGCATGGCGATCTCCCGGTCGATGCTGGCCAGCGAACCCAGCTCGGCGGCGTGCAGCCCTGCCGCCGGCCCCCCGAAGTACGACACCGACTCGGGGTACTTGAGGAGGCCGCCCAGGTGCAGCTTCAGCGGGTAGTAGGGCGCGGCGCCGTAGAGCAGCTCCCCGTTGTAGACGGTGAGCGGCATCACGGGCAGCCCGCACTCGCCCGCGTACGCCTTCAGTCCCTCGAAGGGCGGCAGCGCGAAGCGCTCCAGCGCGCCCCCGGGCAGCGGTGGGTAGCGGGCGGGCGGCAGGGCGGCTCCTGGCAGTCCCCGCTCCACCTGCCGGAAGGCCGAGGCCTCCTCCAGCGGTGAGAGCAGCGGGAAGGCGCGGAGCCCGCCGCCGCACGCCAGACCGGCAGCTGCCGCCGGAGGGGCGGCCTCGCCCGGCAGCGCCCCGCACTTGGGCGGCGCCTCGGAGGCTGAGCGTCCCGCCTTCAGCCCTCCCAGCAGCTTGGAGAAGCCGAGGGCGGCGGCGCCCCGCGCCTCCTCCCGCAGCGGCCCGGCGGGGCGGAAGGCCGAGCGCGCCCCGGGGCACAGCGCCAGCCCGTTGCCGCCCGCCGGCCCCAGCAGCGGCCCCGGCCCGCGGGCGGCCCCTACGCTCATGTCCAGAGCCCGCTCCTGCTCCTCCTTGCCCGCCGCACGCTTGGGCAGCCCAGGCTTGGCGAGCGGCGGGGAAGCGACGGCGGCCTCGCGCTTGACGGGCTCCCGCGGGCCGCAGCCCGGCGGCGGGTGGGCGCGCAGCGCGGCGGCAGGCGGCTCCTTGGGCTGGAGGCCGAAGGCAGCGGGCCGGCCGTGGTCGTGGTGGAGGAAGGGGCGGCCGTGGCTCAGCGAGCAGTGGAAGTGGACGTGTGCCTTGAGGCTATTTGGGTACTTGAAGGTCCTCCAGCAGTACCAGCAGATGTACCGCTCTTCACCTGCGGAGGCAAGCAGAAGGGCCCATCAGCGGCCCCCGCGCAACCCCACGCATCTCAGCGCCTAGCCGCGCATCCCCGCTCCCCCGCCTTGTCGCGGCGCGGTGCAGACTCCGCGCGGTTCGAGCTGCGCTCCCGCGGACGATCGCCGTGAGGCAGAGGGGAGCAGCTGCTGCCGCGAGTAGTCTGTCGGGGGGGCCATCTGTTGGCGTTTGCAAAGGAGGTAGCGTATGTCAGGGAGTCGGCTGAACCGAACAAAGGCCAATCTAATGATCGTGAGCCCCTCATTACGCGGCGAGACAATATCCGATATGTATGGGCCATATGTAATCGTTCCCTTTCAGAGGACAATGCCCTTTGTGCCCCGTCCCCTAAACACTTCGGTTTCTCTAAAGCGCAACAGACCTCGGTGGCAGCGGCCCTGGTGACTCCCCGGCACGCAGAGGAACAGGCTTCTCTTTCCTTCTCCTGGCTCTGCCTTGCCAGGGTTGTCCTCCTGAGAAGGAGCATCTCCGAGCCCCGAAGGTGAAACGCTGCTTCTGCGGGCAACCTGCCTGCCTGGGTATCTTTATGTCTTTTCCTTTTGCCTCCCTTTTCTTTCTCCCTCTCTCACTTTCTTTCTCTTTTTTTTTTTCTCCTTTCCTTTCCCTTCCTTTCCTTTCCTATCCTATCTTTTCCCCCTTTCCTTTTCCCTTTCTCTTCTCTCTTTCTCTTTCCTTCTCCCTTCTCCTTCCTTCTCTCTCGTGTTATGTCTACATAGTATTAATCCTTCTCCAGCCCCGTCTCTCCTCGTCACAACAACATACCACTTAGACGTTTCGGGAGCCGCCGGGGCCCTCACGAACTGCTGCCCATCCTCACCCCGTCTCCAGCCGATCCTCACCATGTGACCAAGTGCCGCACAAGAACGAGAGGCCGCTCGGGCCTGGGACCAGCTCCTCACAATTAGGGGGATCCCTTGGGGTACGATGAGGGTGGGGTGGGGCACAAACCACCAGGAATGGGGCAGCTTCAGCCGGGGCAACGGCTGAATGGGGCTGGTCAGAAGGTCACCGAGGCGGGCACTGTGGCCTCAACCAGACCGAGGGGCTTTAACTCAGCGTTTGGGGCAGGGACGAGCCGGTGGCCGCTGAGCCGGTGGCCGCTGAGCCGGTGAAACACGAAGTCTTCGCTGTCCTCGGGAACTCGCGTGGACGGATCCGGGGCTATTGAGAGTGTCCCGTCTCCTGTGTGCTTGCTGTCGTACTCAGCCCTTCTTTGCTTGCTGCGAATCGGATGTCCCAAGCTGCGCGGCGTTACCAAGTCCTTGGACGCGGGTTTTCGCCCCGTCGAGGGGGGCTGGCGGGAGGAGGGAGCGTATCTGCCTGGCAGCGGCCGCGGGAGGGAGAACCGCGGCCCAATCCCACCGCCGTGCATAGCAAACCGGTCGGAGGATCGCTGTGGACAGAACGGCTTGCGGCCACCGACCGCTGCCGTCGTTCGCCTTTGCGGAGCGGTTCGGTCCTGGCTGTCCTCGGCAAGAGTTTGATAGGACCGGCGGCCTCCTGAGCGCCACCGAGCCAGGGCCGAGGCTTTTTCAGGCTCAGCTCTAGTCCAGCAACCATCGCTCGGGAGCGGGAGGGGGGGTGGAGAAAGAAACGAAAAATACCCCTTTCTCATCCCAGTAAACCCAAATAAATGAAGATTTGGAAAAGAAGATTTGCAAAATTTTGTTTGTTCTGAAAAAAAAGAAAGAAAAACAAAACCAAAGCAAAGAAACAAACAAACCCCCCTCTGACTTTCTTCTGCTGTGTTGTTTTGGGGGTTTTGTTGGTTTTGGATTTGGGGGGTGGTGGTGGTGTTTGTTTGTTTGTTGAGCTTTGTTGGCTTTTTCTTTTTTTTTGGGGGGGGGGGGGGAGGTTGGCCGTTGTTTGGTTGGCGGTTTTTGGTGGGACTTTGAGGTTTTTTTTTCCAGCATACTGTCCTTAAAGGAAGAGCACTTCAGCATTTGATGCGCTTATTCTCAGCCCGTTCTAATTAGCCTGTAAATGGTGGGGCCGGAAACACGGCAGATCCGCAGGCTCAGTCTGCAGTTAAGCCTTGCTTCGACGGGGCGGGGAAGATGCCACACGCCTGCTGCATCTCGCAGGCCCGAGATTCCTTGCCGTTTCCTCGAGCTGCATCCGCCGGCAGGGGCTGCTGGGCGGGGAGAGGGGGCAAAACCCAGCCCCGTGTCCTCCTTCCTGCAGCCAAAACTTCGCCAGAGCAGTTTTTTTTCGAAGGGGTGACTCTCCGCAGGCCCACGGCCTCACTGCTCTCCGTGGAAGGGTGGGACAGAGACGTGACGATGAGTTTCTTTTCCGGGTGAAGTTTTAGTGTAAGGAGGGATTTGTGCTCTTGCACATCGCACGAGTTGGGCAGGAGGTGAGCAGTCAGAGCCCGGTGTTTCTGCATTCATCCCTCCGGGTCGGATCCCGATTTCCCTTCGGAGCAGCAGGCCTCGAGGGCTGGGGAGGTCTCAACATCCCCCGGATCGAGCCCTTGCTCACCTCTCGGGGACTCCGCCGGCTGAAACATCTGTGTCGTGCAGGAGCAAGGGGGTCTCTCGTCGCCAGCTGAGCAGCCGTGGCCCGGTGTGGCCTACTGCCTTCCAGCAGGTCGCAGAGCCGCTGCCGCCCGGGGGAGCGGCCGGACGCCCCGGGATGGGCAGGAGGGTGTGCCGGCCACCTTTTAGTTTCGTCTTCTTTTCTCTCTCTGAATGTGCTGCCACCTTGTAATTTTTGTGAACACCAGTGTGATTCCAGCTAAGTCTCAGCTCGCAGCCCGGTGTCTTCCCCTTCCCGGTATCTTCGGATTTCCCTATCTGAACCTGATTTGACGCCGACTTAATTTTTTACCTCATACACCCTAATTTACTGGGACCGTCCAATGCCCGTTTGGATTTGACTATATGAACCTACCCACAAGATAACCTGAAAATAGGCTCTGAAGCTCTGACCGAGGAACATGGGAGATGCAAGAGGTATTTTTAAAGACTGTGAGGCCAAGTTGCTGTCTCGCACCGTAACACTAGCCTTGTTTCACAGAAATCCCATTTGCCTATCAAAAGATCATTAAATTGTACCGAAGTCGGAATGACTCGAGGCACGGGGGCCTTTCCATACGCTACTGAGTTAATAGATCACCCTTTAAACATAAGCAGATGGAGTCTTAGTTTAAAGGATGGCAGGTTAAAAGTCACTGCAGCTGTGCTGGCATTAATGTTTTCTAAGGGAGCAATTTGAAGGACCCACTGTTGCCTACCGCAGTTTGAGTTCCCGCCAAAGCTGATAATTAAGAGGATCTGGTTTGATTAATTTAATTTGATTGCTCGGAAACGAATGGTTGCATCTGTACCTTTCTCGTCGTGCGTTGGGGTGGCCGTGACAGGGATGTCAAACCACTGAGCCAGTGGGTTGGAGTACCAAACGGTGAGCTCCTCTCCCGGCTGGACATCTCGTAGCGCCCGGTAGAAAATCTGGGAAGGAGGAAAAGGAAACTTCTTCAGGAGGCTTGAGAGGGGAGGCAGGTGATGGAGAGCAGTATCAGGCCGGCCCGGAGCCGCGAGTGGTGTACCTGTCCTCCTGGCAGATCCGCAACAGCCTCCAGTGTCTGCTCTTGGGAGTTTCGGGCAGCTCGGATTAACCCTATCCACTCCAGAGCTGAGCTCCCGGCTTCATCCACTAATTCCCCTCTCACCATCCGCACCTGGAAGACAGGCGGCACCGCTGTCACTTCCACGCAAGACTAAAGAGAAAACAAGCAAACAGCTTACCCGTCCCCCTGCCTCCTTGCCTGCCCTCTCTGCCATGCCCTGCGAGCCTGCTGTCCTACACCAGGCAGGTGCCTGGGCATCGCATCTCGGAAGCAGCGACCAGAGCATCTCGTTTTGTCGGCCTTACATCCTCAGCCTCCTTTGGGCAGGAACTTTTCCGGCTCGCAGGTGCATTGGGAGAGCTGCGGCCAGCCTAGGAGGGAGTGGGGGGGGGGGGGGTCTGCTCTGCAGGAGTCGGGATGGAAGATCCCCGTCCCCAGCACTGCGAGGGGAAATGGGATTTTACCCTCAGATCACACTAGTCCAAATGCACCTCGTTCAGTCGCAGCTGCTACAATTAGCTTAACGCTGTATTAAATGAGCAGGTAAGATGTTTTTTTTTTTTTATGGGTTTGTGCAGTCTTTGAGTCGGTGCAACACAATCGCGACACACACGACTTGTCGGGACATGTGGAGGGGGAAAGGGGAGAAGGATTCTGCCTAGCTACAAAGTCTCTGTAGCCCCATACTTCATAATCTGTTTGCCCATACAAAGAGAAAATGAAGTGCCCGTTCCCTGAATGACCGTGCAATAAAAGTCACCGGAACAAAGCGGTCTAAAGCGAGAAACCAAGGGAGCCAGATGAGAAATAAATTTGAGTGGGCTGGCAGAGCGTTTAAAAACAATTAAAGGCCATTAAAAATCCGAGCGGAACGCGTGAGCCGCGGCTGCCCGGGGGGTCGAGGAAGGGCTACCACCCGCAGTACCCTGAGGAGCCCGGTGGACGGGGCGAGCACCCTTCACCGCCTCGTCCGAGCATCGTCCCTGCTCGGACACGCACTGACCTCGGTGCCGACAGCCGGGAGGCAATCACCCCCTCCCGCTCCGGCTGTGCGGGTGGTTTGTGGGTTTGAGGCTTTCCGAGAAGGCCGAGCCACTGCGGGCTGCCCCGGCCCCCAACCACCCACACCCCCTGCCCTGGAGGACCCCCGGTCCGCTGCCCCGCTCTCCCCTGCGGCCCCAGTCAAAGGGCTCTCGGCTGGGGAGAGGGATGGAGGGACACGGGGCACAAACCCGAGCCAGCTGCACCAGAGGCACCATCGGTGCATCTGCTCCTCCCTCGAACAAAACCCGGGGACTGAGAAAGCCGCATGTCCCCTTCTCACCGGGGCTCGGGGTCACGAAGTCAGCCCTGCCGGGAAGGGGCAATGCCCGAATGAACGAAGGCCAGCGGGACGGGGGCCGAGAGAAGACATCAGCACCCTCCAGCACCGGGCACCAGGCACGGGGCTGAGGCGACGTTTTCAGCACGTCTGTGTTCAAGGCGGGAGAGCCTCCGCTCCGCCGGGAGAGCCGCTTGGTCCGCTGGCCTCGTCGCGGAGGCGAGCCGGGCTAGCTGACCCCCGGCGCTGGCGTGGGGGGGGAGAGGGTATGGGCGACTTCTCCTGGCAAAGCCACAAGGAGACATCTCGGGACGCTCTGGACATGCTTCCCTTCCCTTTCCTGGCTTGTTCTAAGAAGGAAAGATCGAAGGCGGGGAGGGGGGAGCTAGAATAGCAGCCTTTTCTCCTAAGCCGTCTTCCCCCGGACGAAGGAAAAGCAAGGTCCAGCGGTGCAGCAGAAACCGTCGGAAAATACCTTTTTTTTGGGTCCTGGCTCCCTGCGGTCTGACAGGTACTTGCCCAGTTTGAAGGAGCCCGGCACAGGGCCCAGCCGCAGCCCCGCAGGGATGCAGCTCTCGGCGCTGACGCTGCCGGCCGGGGCCCTGCTGCTTTGCATCGCTGCCTCCGGGTGCCAGCGCTCGGGAACCCCAACTACTTAAGGGGGCCGGAGTGACAGGGGCAGGCGGGGAGGACGAGCCGCGGCGTATCCCCGCCCGCGGAGTGACGCGGCGGTGTTGTGGGCGCCGGCTTTTCAACGGGAGCAGGAGGGGTACCCCTTGGCAGGGGGATGCTCCGGGGCGCGGAGTTTGGTGAGAGAGTTTGGCTCCTCGAGCAGCTGCGGAGTCCCATCCGAGAGGGTCACATGGAGCCTTTCCCTAACCCTCCTGCATAATCAGGCGGAGTGAATGGCTGGCAGACAATGGGCCAGGCGACCTTCCCATTCCTAAAAATCCAATTTGTCAAGGGCAAAGAAAAGGCGCTGGTGAATCAAAGGTCTGGAGGGACCATTAATCCTCAGCATGGGGTATTGTCCCCGAGACAGTTACGATATTTTAAGTGACAAATCCACTGTATAATTTCTCCATAAATTTTATTTCCTTTTATTGTTCCTCGACAAACCAGTTTTGGAAAATAAGTGACTATTTTAAGTCTACTTGGCTGAGCCTTTTGAGGTTTAATATACTTCAAAGATTTTTAATTCTCTTCCCTTGGCTTTATTGTAAAGGAGATTAAACAAAGAGATGGGGAATGTTTTGAGGACTTGTTAACTTCTATTGATTCCCGGCGTGTGCCATACAGAAATTGGGCAGGTACTTGATGGGAAAACACCAGAAAATACCTACACTTTCTCTTTTTTAAAAAGAACGACCATATTACCATTTCAGTGGGTTGGTTGCAGGCCAGTAATCTGTTCAGTAGAGCTTTGATCCTTAAGGAGAATGAATAGCTTCAAAATATGAGCCGTCGTAGCCCCTGTAAAACACAACCCGCTGCACCTGTGAGCGCTGGGAAGCTGTGGTTGTAGTTCCTGTGATGAAGAAAAAGGGACAAGAGCAAATAGAGACATACAGGCAAAGGGAAATGAAGGGGCACGACCAGCAGACAACACAGATGTCTAGCAAGCAGCCTGTGGCTGCAATCTTAGTTTAATACATCCACAGGTTCCTCTCCCACAAGCAAAATGGCTTGCATCGAGGCTGCTTTCAGAGGAGGAACCTGCAAAAAGCGGTTGTAAATAAAGCCAGAAGGACGCCGTTCGAACAGAGTGTGTCTCTGTCCCTCCTCTTCGCATAAATATTTTAATTAAGATACAACGAGGTGCCAGAATTACGTCATCTTGTAACTCAAGCTGGGGAAATGACCCAAGATTTTTCCAGGAGCTGAAGAGGAAAGGTGTGCGACTTTTTTCTCAGGCACATGCAACAGCCCAGCTGTGCCTGTCAGACCAAAGTGTACAGTAACAAATTCAGTGATCCATTTTCGCTTTTCTAGCCAGGTCTAGTCCCCGCTAGCATGTTTACTCCTCTCCGTACCTCGTAACTCTCCAAAAAGAAGATTGTTGAACCTTTCTCTTGCGGAGAAGTTTCACATGCAGATTTTATCCAATGCTTTCAGAAGCAATTGCAGATACGGATTCCCCTACTCCCCAGCACCCCCACCCCACCCCCCTCCTGGCCCCCGGCGTTTTTCTAATAGTCAGACCTAATACATTTCAAAAGAACCCCCCAAAAGCTACGCTTAGAGGCGCATCTGCCGATAGGTGCCAGGTAACCGAGTGGCTCTTCTGAAGTAATCCCGCTTTCTGCAAGATGAAACTTGGCACATCACTTCCGACGTGATCCTTACTGTGGGCTTTACCCTGGATCCGCTTGCCGCCGTCACGCGTGACACCCACCGTGGGAGCACGGGCCAAGGGGAATACGCAAGGGCGACGAAAGCGATTTTGAACGGGCACGTCTTAGGATTTGGCGGTTGCAAAGATGCTCTTCCCTCTCATTGCGCAGGGAGAGCGATGGAGTCTCAGGCCGGCGAGTTACCGCCGCTGCTGTCTTGACATGCGCCCACACCGAGCGCTGTTCGCTCCGGTCCCGCAAGGCACCGGCCTCTGGTGCCCTGAAATGTCAGTGTCAGTGCTGGGACCGGCGGGGAGAGGAGGGCTGACGGCTCCCCCCGTCCCGCCCGCAGCGCTGAGCTCCTCCGGCCGGGCTGGACCTGGACGGGTTGGGGCGTTCCCTCCGCCTGCTCCGGGGGATGCTGGCCGGCACTGGGCTGTGAATCTGTTTTTTATTAATGATACGTATTGGCAAGCACAGGAGATAGATGTCTCGCTTGCCCCCCCCGTAGCATCAATGATCATCGATCGCATCTCTCCGGGGTGCAGTGGCAGGGACTGTCCCGGGAGAGCGGAGGCCGGGTGTGTGTGTGTGTGTGTGTGTCTTTTTCACTTCGCCAGGGTAGGGAAAGGAGGCGGGAAAGAGAGGATGTGGGGAACTGAAGATGACCCCTTTGATCAGTGGCCTGAATGGGGAAAAATGGATAAACAAGAAGTCGAGGGCAATAAATTTAAGCCATGAACATGTCCCTGTAACCTCTGGGCTGCCCACTTGAGGATGAGACCGGGCTGAAATTCCGGGAGCCGCAGAGGTAGAGAGAGAGAGGGCTTTTAAGGCGACCAAGGTACCCTACTGCTCCGCCTCGGGAGCAGCTCCCTCCCAGGCCTTAATGAGTCAAAGAGCGTGAACGACACGCGAACAATTTTATCAATAGGACCATGTAAAAGCCGACTGTGAGGAAAGTTATTTATTAATATAGCCGATTGTGGCTGGTTCCCATCCACTCAGAAAAGAAAAGCCTTGCTCTGGAAGCATTCACACCAGTTCTCCAATTTTTATTCTGTCCTGTGGCTCAAAGTTGAAGTTCCCCAAGTGAAATAAATTGTCCACAAAAGAGGAAAGGAACCACATTTTCTTTTATTTTTCCTTCCCTAAAAAGGAAGGGTGAAACCGATCTAATGTGCCCACTGGAGCAAGATGCAGCATGAAAGGCCGGGTGTTAAAAGTAAAAGCAGCCTTTGGAGCAAATGGGATGGAAAATTAAATGAAATTAAATAGCTTGAACGACCGTATTGTCCCTTATTAAAAAGACACATTAATTACATGGTTTCAGCTTTATTCAAAGACAATGTTTAGACTCAATCAAAACATTCCACTATTCCTTTATAGACTTAAACCGGGCTACTAGAGGCATCATTAAAGCGAGATCACTTTTGCCCAGAGATGCGATGAAAGTTATTTTCCTCGGCGGCCCTTATTTATGCCCACTGCTGAACTGCCGGTGCCCCTGAGTAACACTTTGGCACACTGTTCTCCCTGATTTAACAGGTTGCCCCATAATGAGGCATGAATGTTAAGGAACAACAGTCATCCAAAGAAGCACAGTTGCAGAGAGCAATGTCCCACCAGGGAGCTCCATTCAAACCATCAAGCCTCTCCGGCACAGAGAAGGTTCAACACCACATTCAGACCAGCATGAATGCCTGTATACAGGGCCCGACTCATTATGCCGCCGAGCACCGCAGCGGAGGCTCCAACAAATGCTGCAAGTTCATTCAGCAGGCCGGGCTCTGCTGGGCGGCCCCGCCGTCGGCTCCCGGAGTGACCTCGTTCCCAAATGGCTTGGCCCCGACGGGGCGGCCCGGCCCCGGCCTGCGAGACGGAGCAGGGCAGAGCGGGGAGTCGACCCCGGGGCTCTGCCGCCATGGCCCCGCTACAAAGGGATGGGGATGCAAGGGACTGGGCAGAGGGCAGGGGGCGACTTGTGAGACCCTGAAATTCGGAAATCACCTTTAAACTGAAGAGACCAATGAGGTCTGAACATCTTTTATCTTTTTTCCTTTCTTAAAAAAAAAAAAAAAATTATCTCCTCTCCTCTTTCCTTGCCTTCCCTCCTTCCCCGTCCCCGCCTTCCCCTCTCTTTCGCAATTCCTGTACACCTCTTCCTCCACTTCGCTCACCTTCGGTCTTTCAGCCACTCTCCCTCCAACCTCCTTCCCTTTTCTACCCCTTCCCCCTTTCTGTCCCTTCCCACAGTAACAATTCCTCCCGTGCTCGCAGCAGCAGCAGCAGCGGCATAGGCAGCGGCAGGAGCAGCAGGGGCAACAACCGCCTCCAGCCGCGGCGCTGCCGGTGCCAGTGCCCGCTGCTGCGGTCGGGCGGGGCCGATCGGCGGCTGCTGCCCGGGCCGAGCCGGGTCGGGCCGGCGGCCCCCAACCAGCTGTGCTGTGCAGACGAGATGCGGGTGGGATATTAAAGCAGCTTTTGAATAGTAATTCAGGTTCTATGGGAACCCGGGCAGATGACAGGAGCCCGATTTGGTATTCGTATTGTTAATCGCGAGCGTCAGCCCAGATAGGATTTAAACACGTTTTGTGCTCGTTAAAAATTCCAGTGTAGGGGCTGAGATTTTTTCTGTCTTTCTCTCTTTTAGCCCAGCTTCAATTGGAGGTGAAACTTGCCGCATAAAGTATTCAAAGTCTGTCTAAAGTTGCCTTTTAACCGGATTCTCCCCCTCCCGCAGCCCCCAGCGTATCTCTTGGTTCTTTCGGTTGACATGGTGCAAATAAAAGTCAGTAAACTTGTTGCTGAATTGCAATGTTTCGGTGTACCTTATAAATTCATACCTTTTCTCCCTCGATCGCCTCAGAATGAGCCCCTGCCTCAATTCGATTTTCCTTGCTGTTGGGCACATTTAGGAGAGAGTCTATTTGTGAAGTTCATTTCTAGGCAAATGTATTCAAGAGCTGATTGGGATGAATAGGACCGTGTGTCAGCCGCCCCTAATTGGGATTAAAGCACTTCGGACCATATGCAGAGAGTGACAGAAATTCTCAGGTTTCATTGTGCTCAGACTTCCACCCGCCTGGACACTCCCGCTGGAAAAGGGGGATTTAGAAAGATTTCAGGGAGAAACTGAGGAAATAAAGGAGAGGCAGAAAATGACCGGGCTAATGTCCTTCGGCGGGGCTGCCAGCGTGGCATCTGCCGGGGGCAACAACGGGCACTAGTAGGACCCGGCGTGGCGGCGGGGTTAGGGCCACAGGCAGCCAGGAGCGACCCGGCGCAGGCTTTCACTTCAAGGGGATGAAAGGGAAAGGAAGGGAAAGGAAAAGAAGGGAAGGGAGAGGAAGGGAAGGGATACAAGCTCCCTCAGCCCCAAGATAGTAAGCTTGTATTTTGGCTTAGAAACACTGAGGGTTGCATGGGATGGGAATGAAAAACCCCACGAGGAAACCTCTCCCGGTGTTTCTAGCCTAAGGAACAGGATCCCAGAGGAGAAGGGAGGCAGGGAGGAAGAGAAGGGGAGATGTGAGACAGGCAGACACCGCTCCGTGCCCATCCTAGTACTGGTACCGGGGAAATGCGCGGTTTGGAAATGTGGCCCTGATGCGTCAGGAGCTGGGAGAGAGCTGCGCTCCGTGCACCGGGCTTGCCTGATCTAGCGGGAGATGCCCACGGCTAGCGGGTTGGACTAAATGATCTTTAAAGGTCCCTTCC